CCAGTCCCCTGAGCTTTTTGTGTTCTAAAATACTTGAGGAACTCCAGAAGAATAAAATACGAGAAAGAAATGCATGGTCAGAGTGTCTGTGGAATTCAAAGAATAGCTGTCAGAGATGGAGGCTCTGAAATGCAGAGGCAATTTACATGGCAGGGGCTTTTCAAATTACCAGCAGCTGTCTTCACTAACTCTGAATATTTCCTTACTCTAAACGTTCAGAGGCGAGCTCAATTAACTTTTATCTTAAAGGTGTTCCTGGTGCCTTATACCTTCTTCCTCTTCTGAAAAGCAAATTAAGAGTGGTTATTGAAAGATAAATGTCTTATGTTTAAATTATGTTGGTGGGATGGGGAGTGATAGTTAATCACAGAACATGCACCTTTTCTCTTTCCATCATTGCCTGCAATACCGAGCCATTTGTCTCAGAAAATAACTGTTACTGAAAAAAGTTACTTTGTGTAACAGATTAGCGCATAGCTCTTAAATTTCTCTTATCTTATACTTAGAGAGCCATCAAAAGACTGTACCTCTAGCATCCGGGTGCTCAAGTACTATTCATGCATGCAGCAGAAAAAAGTAACATACGCCTTTTCATAGAATTGTATTTCTTCAACAGTTTCTTTCAAGTTCTCCATATAATAGCGAGGGCATCACAAGGCAAAAAAAATTATCTTTACTAAGGTCTTCCTGAGTAGGTCTTTGTCACCTTACTGACTTGTTGTTAATGACAGACTGACAAATTTCTTCCTTATAAAAAGATAAGAAAATTGATCCTAATTGCCTGCATATTTTCTTTGTTCTTTGTGTTCTGTCTCTCTGATATACAAAAATGAAAATAAATGCATTTCTGAAAAAGTTGTGCTTATTTGCCTGGAATGGAAGAATTAGATAAAGCAGTTAAAGCCAGGCAGAATCATAAAAGATGGTTTTATGGTGGAAAATGCTGGCCAACTTTATAAGCATCTAAGTACAACTTTTTTGGAAGATAATGCCTGCGACATCTTATTTCTTTTACCTGGTGGCCTTTTGAGCCTAAATCTGTCTTTGAATAGCAATTTTTCATGTCTCTCCTTATGAGACAAACAAACAACAACAACAAAACTTTTTTTCTTTCCATTTCTTTTCTTTCTGTTACACTCCAGGTAGGAGATGTTTGTACATGGGCAGAATGTCTCATAACCAAGCTTTCTTTCATGTTCTATTCTGTGATACTACATCACACTGACATTAACACAAAGGACAAGTGCAAAACCTTTTAGCTGAGTGTCTCTTCAAAGTGCCATTTAATAGCCTGGGAACTTACTTCCCTTCAACATAAGCTGGCAAAGGATCCAGTGAAATGAAGCATTGACCCTTAAAGTTTATCAAGATAGGCCTTTGTAGAAGGGCAGTCATGCTTTGTTCTAGGACTGCATCAACTTTTTAAACAAGTTGTATGTGATGCAGGCATCCCACAAAGACAGGAGATTGTTGTGTTTTGACATATATATACATTCACAAAAAAATGCTAACTTGAAAGTACCTCTTGTTTCACCTCTTGTTACTGGTTATGCTGCCTCCATAAATTGGTTGTAATCTGATGTTTTCAGGATTTCATGCTCAGTAGAAGTTTTCATAGCTTTAAAGCAGACTTAATCAATTTCAGGCATCAGTTTCATCATATTTGTTTATCAAGTTAGTTAAGAAATTAGTGTAATGACTAATCAGAAGTCTTTTCTAATTTTAACTGCAGAATTCAGTCTTCTCCAAACTGTAGACCTCAAGCAAACATCTAGGACAGAGAAAATAAAAAGCAGTGTGGAAAGAACATAATTTTTTATATGCAGATTTTTTAGAAAGTCTTCCTTTTCACAGCATAATTTAAATATTACTTAAAGGACCCATAAAAGATAACATATTAAAACAAATTGAGTTGTATATATGATTGATTCTCACAGTGGGAAACTGATTGCAAGAAGTACAATTTTATACATATGACCTTGAAATGAATAAAACAACTTTTAATTTTATCATTTCCATTATAAATGTAGAATACAATTAACAATAATATTGGCAGAGAAGCAAGGGTCTAACATAAAAATTTGCTTACAAAATAAATTTATACCATTACTGGACTTAAAATATGATAAAAAGAAGGATTTTCCAATACATGAGGACTAGTGAAATATTCAGCAAAGTTAATTTAACTCACATGTTGTAAAACTGTCCAAAGATTTAGTTATCTCTGGAATCTGCTTTTTTCTATGAGAAATTTACATGAAATTTCTTACTGTGCTTTAATTCAATAAATATGTGTCATGATACTTCCATACCAGTCCTTTGAAGCCTTAGCTACTTTTTGCTGAAGTTACATCTGTCACTGCAGCTACTTCCACTTCAGCTGGAATTTAGGGTACAGTTTCATGTTGCTGTTAATCCCATGTTACTGTGCGTTACTGCTGGGAGGTGCAGTCACAGTGTGAACCCCCCACAGCCACCACACATCCCCTCTGTTTCCCCTCTACAAACATTACATGGCCCTGGGGTGACGAGGGTGTGTTTGGTAATCTGGTGGAAATCTAATGCTTTTGACAGTGCTCGGTGGATGTAGCTAACAAAGTAGCAGGTGTCCATATCCTCTGCTGGGAACCACAGGGAAACTTGAACTGTTTCATCTATTCTTCTTCAGGCAGCCTCCTTCCTCCAGGCGTGGTTTCTGTCAGTCCCCTTTCTCTTCTGAAAAGCCTTCCTCCCATCAGGGCTTTCTAAACTTGGTACCCAGGAGGAGTTTCATGCCAATGCATCCTCCCTCTGGGAAGCTGCGCCTCAACCACATGCATTTCACCAGGAAGGCCGTGGTTTATTAATAAATTATATGCACTGAGGTGATGTATGCGGGTATGTTACACCTGCATTTCTAGAGTATATTCATCCGTGCTTTGGTGTGTGAGTGATAATGCCTCTAAAATTATATGTGGCACCTAACAAAATCATAATGAGAAGAAGTTTGGGAATCATGTGTCTTGTAAATAATCCTTAAGACAGGCATTTTTCTATAAAAATACATTTTAAAAACACACTACTTCAAACAAACACAGAGCTAGAACACTATTTGAAAATACTTGAAAATGAAGAAGGTTCTTTTTAAAACTTGTTTTCATCTCTGATTGCTGAATTATTTACTTCAGACTTTTCAAAATAATTCTGTAATAGGATAAGACTTTGGTTTATCAATTAGAGTGAGGCTTTCATCAAATGAAGAAAATTAGGCTTGAAAATTAGGCTTCATAGGAAAAATAAACTTCAAATTCAGTCTTGAAAAATCCTCTGATCAAGTTTGGCAACCAAATAATGAATTGTAAACAGATTAATAGGAAATGAGTTGAGATATACATATAATTGTGAAACCTTGATCCAGCTTTAGGATTTATCAGCATCCAACTTGTCACTTTGATTTTGTGAATAAAGACTACACTTTTCTCATAGATTATATATATCTTACTGATCTGATAAACTGAATGATCTCCTTTCAAATTCTAACAGGTTAGCATTGATCAGTTATATTGCTTATTTTTTTGTTTCCCCTCTTTTTTCCCTAGTCCTATTTGTTGTTGTTCTTGTTTTATATTAATCCATTCCAAACAACTTATCTTAGTGCTTCTCATCTAAGTGTCTCAAAAGGTTAAGGGAAAAAAGTTGCACTAATAACAAGGAAATAAGGAGTGACTCTACCCAAACAAGCTGTACCAAGAGAAAGCAACTGTGATTCTTGCCTGTAATATGGGCATCAACCTCAGTTCAAAAACACCAGTGTTCTCCAGATGTCTATGTAAGCAGTCTGTCAACCACCACCAGCAGAAGAGTGCCTGTGTACACAACTGACCTCACTTAGCCTTCTCTGAAGTGCTTGCCATGTTGTTATCTATTTTTTGCCTTGACTTTTTAAACTTCATTCTTTGTGGCTACCCAAGCCTTACATTATCTTTCTATCTCTGTCTCATCAACTCCCCATCTCTTTTCCTGTCTGGTCTGAAACTCCATATCTCCTCTCCACAACAGCTCTCTAACGTTCCCTGTCTGCGTCTTGTTGCTTGTGTCGCATTTCTGCAATGGAGTTGCTTAACTGCATAAGGATGATGGCAAAACTTCCTGGTAGAAAACACGCTGTGAAACCTATATTGCAGGCAAAAATCATGAAAAGCAGGGACAGCTTTCCTACCACAGTGGCCATATGGTTGACCACTGTCACCTCATAGAAAGCATGGATCAGGACTAGGCAAGGCATCCCACTGTGGCTTTGCACAGTGGGGAAGGGGATGAGCAACCACTGGAGGTTTTGTGTTTTCCTTCAGCAGCTTCTTAAGATTATACCCTTGCAGGCCAGCTCTGCTTCCAGGCACAGGGTATACCTCTGGTGTGGAGGGTACTTCAGCTGTTTTTTCTGCTCTCAGAAAGGCAGCAGGCTTGGCCCAAGGCATGACCATGATGTGCCTAAACAAAAGCTTTGAGCATACCTGGCATATAGCCAGTCTTGGGCTGGCCTCTAAACAGCAGTGTGGGCATTGGTGCAATCTCATCTCACTCATGGAAAAGTGTGGTACATGCTGTGCCTACTGGAGGTTGTATGGAGATCTACATACTAGCAACATGAGTGGTTAAGGCAGAATGCAGGACAAAAATTCTGCCTATAATGTGAGATTTGGTTCAAAATCAAGAACTGGTATCCAAGACTTCTTTCTGGTGCTGTGGATTATGTATCATCGTTGTATGTCTTTGTTGTTACAAACCGTGCGTGTTTCCAGCAGCTAGAAAGCCTACCATGAAGAGTTTAATATGATTGTAATAATGATGTTAAAATGTGTTCAGAGGAATATTGTAACATGGGTATAAATTACTATGGGGGATTAAGTAGTGCAAGACCTTGTGGATAGTTGTGCTTTTAGCACCTGAGGATGGGCAAAGTCAAAGCCTTTAATCCCAACAGTCTGTGCTTACTTGGAAAAATGTTTGTCTGACTGCAGGCATGGAACCCGTTGTGCTGGAGAAGTAGCAGCCACGGCAAACAACTCACACTGCACAGTAGGAATCGCCTTTAATGCCAAGATTGGAGGTATGTGAAACAATCTCCCACCAAAAACAAAAGTAACCAAAGAGCCATTTGTGCTAAATGGTACATTTAGACCTTTCTCAACAAGAGAAGGAGATTTGTATGGATAACAAACCTAGCTGTGTTAACAAGTAAATCTCAGTTGTACAGTGGTCGTTAAGTACCAGTACTGAAGGAGTTTGTCTGCAGTGACACTTCTCCAGTGCTCCCTGGAACACTGCCTCTCAGTACACACAGAAAAATAGAAAGCAAGACCTTTGATGAAAACACAAAACCCAGAATTAGGATATTTGGGTTTTCTTACAGGTTCAGAGCTCGAAGTGATGAACTTTGAGAAACCAGAAGTAAATGTACACATCAGGAATATTGCCTTGCATATTAACCCCAAACAAAACACTGTCAAAACATAAAACATTTTTGTGTTGTTTGGCTGTGGTTGAAGAGAATCTTCTTTTGATCCCTCTGTGTGCCTGAAATATGGATTCAATTGCCCTTTTTTATTCATTCAGCCAAGAGGTTCTGAGTGACTTCTATGAATTCTTAGTCAATGGCTGGTCAATTAAGACCTTTGGCTTAATTTGTGGGGATAACTATCAAGGTGCCATCTACATGTCTCCTAGGCTGTAGCCTGCCTGTGCCAGATTTTAATGTTTCAAGTGAAGTTTTATCCTGTACTTTTCATGAAATCATGGGATTGGTGATATTGGCTTTCAGTAGAAAGACCTATAGCTCAAACTCATTAATTGTTGATTTTCTGTCCCAAAATAGAGCCCATCTGTGAAAACAGAAACATGTTTACCTATGTATACACCAGAGGACAGTTCAAAAATGTGACCAGGCAGAGTTGAGGTCATGTTTCCACAATTAATAGTACTGTATCTGTTCTCTACTGGATCAGTACAAGTTTGGTCCAAATCAAATGTGAGCACAGCTGCATTTCAAATTAGCCAAAGCACACAACGTCGTCCTAATGTCAGCTTTCTGTTTTCCTGCTGGCTTCAAGAGGATGGACAATATCTGATCCAGCATAAGGTTAAAGTGATGCAGAAAACCAATTTCCCCTCAGGTGGAGAGCCTGCCTGCACAAAGTTACCCTGTCAGAGTGGTTTAGAAAACCTGAACTGGCTAAGTGAGTGAGTTTGTGGCACATGAACAGGCTGTCTCATGTGGATGTGGCATTTGGTCGTGTACCAGCAGCTATGAAATCAGATTTATTGCGTTGTCAAACCAGAGTCAGAGGAGAGTTAGTGCACTGATAGAGATAAAAGATGGCTTCTGGAGAGGTTTCATTTGTGAGTTGGATAGTCACACAACCTGCAACAGCTTGGGCATGTCCTTGAAAAGTTCTCCATTAGTAACAGTGGCTTCTTAATAGTTTATTATTTATTAAACATTAGGAATGTGCCATAATAATGTTTTAGAAACCCTCCAGGCATATTAGCTGAATCACTGCCTTTTCTAAATGTAGTGTAAAAACTGACTCAGGTGGGCATAGTAAGAACACAGTTAATGTAAACAGTAAAGACTGGATATGTGTGCCTTTTCATAATATATTTATTTATTTGTTTGTTTTGTATGAAGAATACAATAGCCTTCAAGATTCACTGGTCTAAGTGAAATAAAAATTTTATCCACTCCATTTGTCACCACAATTCTGTAGAGCTGTCACCAACACTGTTCTTAAAAGAAAGCTGGAAAGTATAACAGTGTGTAAATCTCACTTGAGGTAATGTACCACCTTTTAAAAGCATTGGCATTTGAAAATAAGACTTCAGGAGGCTCAGCAGATAATCTGCAGAAAGTCAGAGGCAAAAGGGAATTCCAGGGTATCAAGAAGGGAGGTTAAGCTTCCCCTTCCACTAGGTGTATATATTTAAGCTTTGTTGCTGCTGATCTCTTGTTGGCATGCCTCCCTCCCTTCCTTCCTTCAGAAAAGCCATAAGCTACACATGTGAACATGCAGTGGTTGTGTTCCCTCTCCACAGGACAGATAGAGTGTAAAAATGTTGAATCATATTATGCTGAACTAGTGTTCAGCTTGCTTGTTTCCCAGGGATTTAAAGACCCCCCTTGGGCCTTCTTGGAGAAAAAAACTAGTCTCAAGCTAAAGCAATTACATTGTCCTTACACAGAGGAGCACCTGCCAACAGTGATGTTGAATTTGCTCCACCAAGATAAGTATTCTTTATTTCAAACCAAAAGGCATCTGTGGACACGTAAGGTATAGCAAGGAGATAAAGCAAAGGGGAAAAGAAATCCTTTCTATCAATTTTCCATCAGATACTGGCAGCTGAACGAATCCAATTAATGATCTTTGTGATGGAAAGTCGTTAACAAGATATCTACCAGTAATGCTCACTTTTTTTTCTAAATGCGTTTGTACTCCTTGTCTCATTTCCACACATTTAAGAAGCTCTCACCACAAATAGGACAAAAATCAGACCCTTAGAAATTCTGAGCCTTCTTTTACAATGGTGTAAGTGGGGATGTGATCTGTAGATAAGAAAATTTGAGTAACATTGCCATCTGGTCCTTTGGTTCTTTTACAGGTTGTGGGATGTTTCTTATAAAAAATTATGCACTATGCCTGCAGTTTGTGCTTAGCTAAGCTACAGGTCCTTTCACTGAAAGGCAAACCAGTGCACCAAAGGGGTAGATCTTTTTTTTTTTTAATGTGATTCTCTGGAGTAGTCACACGTAGCAAATTACCACCTACAGAGCTTGTGAGACTTTTTATAGGAAGGGATGGTTAGCCTGTTGGTATTGTTGCAGACTGATTGTGGAAGTTGCAAAGCATCTGTGGGGATTTGGGTGCTTAGTTACTTGGCTGGGCTCGAGTCCTGATGGGAAAACAGTTACAGTGAATTATGGCACAACAGATGTAGATTGTCTTCAGCTGACGAGGAATTAGTTCAGCTGTTTCTTTAAGTCAGATGCTGATTAAAAACAAACGTTTTAAAAGAAAACTTACTGTTAGCTCAGTTTTGCATGTTTCCTGTGATTCATTGAAAGTTTGTTCTGACTAAAATGCCACTTACATTTTGGCAATTACTGCAAATACTGGAAAAAGTTTGCAGAGCTCTAAAGTCATAGGTGGAACAGTCTGCAAATGCGGTCTGTTAATTGCCTTCTGGACAGCTTTTGTTGCGCTATCACCACATGCCAAATGCAGTTTGGAGGTTTTGTGATCGGCAGAATTAACTACTCCAGACATTTGGGGAAAAGAGAGAGAGAGGGAGAGAGAGGGAGGAAGGAGAGAGAGGGAGAAAGGACTTATTTTTGGTTTAAATAGACAATGAGACATCTGTTGTTCAAAGTCACTCTTGAAGCATGTCTGTCAGTTGTTGGCCGGAGAGAGCAACACCTAAGTCACAGCCTTGTACGTATTGCTTTAGATTTGACCATTTCACCATTAGCAAAAAAACCTTGTGTGAATTTATTCAGGTGCCAATGGCAGACTTTGGAGTTATTGTTCACCGGGTGCATGTTATATTATTTAGGCTTGCTATGCAGTAACAGAAGCATAAAGGGAAGCTTTATTTTCCTTCTTTCAAAAGCAATGTACCTTTTATTGTCTTTATTTAGAGCTAAATATATTTTAATGTGCTTGAAAGAAATTGATAACACAACTTCCACCCATCATCAATTTTCTGAGATTATGCTGGGGAAGAAAAATAAAACCTGAGAATCCCAGAGTTGGTTTAATGACTTTTTTTATAAAGTAAAGTTCATAGTGAGATCACTGTTTGTAAAAGTTTATTATCTCACAAAACATGGGCAGCTTTTGTGTGAACTTAGAAATATGATCACTTTTCATTTTTGAGTCAATTAGAGTAAGGAAAAAAAAAAGACCCTTTATCAACAAAGCAGCCCCTATGCCTTTTGTTAATTGGAAGTTAAGGTCTTGGTAGACACTCAAGTGGAAGTAATCATTACTTTGTACTATCATATAGTTACATGCTAATTATTATTTAATGTTTAACATCCCTTTGATCAGATGTCACGCTAGCTGTATGTAGGTCCTTTTTCCTGTTTAGGTTAAAACTGGCATCAGCAATTTTCTCAGTCAGAATTAACTTCAGTCCAAGTCTTACAGTTAGTCAAAAGAATAACTTTAAAATTTTCTCAGTTTCCAGATTTAAGCCTACCTTATTCAGTCTGGTGATCTTAAAACATCATGATGCCATTCACTTTAGAAGGGCTGGCACGTTGGCTTGTCGAAACCCACATGAATGGATTCTTTTAACACAAGAATTTCAGATTATACCTTAAACAACCTTCTTCTGCTCAGAGGATGATGTTCACAATATTGTAGTTTCAGGCTGAATAATGTTATATATAGGATATTTGTTAGTACCTTCCTGTAATCGCCTTGCTACTGTGTATGGCAATCGTTCTGTGCACATGAGCTTTCTCCCAAGTTTCTTCTTTGCAGCCTCATACAATGAAGGAATAATCCCATGTTTATCTCTCAGAAGAGATCCTTTTATTACATTTGTCAACATACTTAGGACTGTGAATGATTCAAATTAGGAGCTGCAGTTTAACTGCAGCATAAAAGGGGAAACAAAATCATATATTATCTTCAAGTGAGACACACAAACATGTCAAGGTTCAAGTCTTTTTTTAAGTTTACTTTAGCATAAAAGTTTGTTGTTGAAGTTCGAAGGCTGTATAGTAGATAAATGACTTGTATTATTATTATTATTGATGATAATTTTTAAAACTTGAAGAAAGACCAAAATATTCCTTCCTTTTTTGTATTTTTTCATCTAGAGGCTTTTTTCCATTTGAAAAACACATATCCGAACAGGTTTCGTTTTTTTTTAACAACAGTAGAAATCCTTATGATGATTCAGTCCAATGTCCTACACAACAATTTTCTCTGGGGGGAAAAAAAAAGCAGCATTTTGACTTGGTTGGTCACATTCATTGTATCTTTCATTCTGAAGGTGTACGGATGCTGGACGGAGATGTGACAGACATGGTAGAAGCAAAGTCTCTAAGCCTTAATCCCCAGCACATCCACATCTACAGTGCCAGCTGGGGGCCTGATGACGACGGTAAAACTGTGGATGGACCTGCTTCCCTAGCTCGTCAGGCTTTTGAGAATGGCATCAGAATGGTAGGTTGGCATCAAAGTGCATCTCCTAGATCTGCTCTCGTGTGCAAGTGTAAGGGTACGTGTGCCCAGTATGTGCAAGTGCACAGCAAGGGGAAGAGGAAAGAATTCTGAAGGAAAGAGGAAAAGCTTCCTTTGCATAAAACTAAAAATGCATTTTCCTTCTATAGTGACCTGATGGTCAGTCCTTCCTGAAGTATCAGCTCTGTTCATTTTCAGTTAGAATACATCATCCTCAGCGTCCTTTAAAACTGCGCTGAGGTAATGAGGTAATTCTGCAAGAAAAAATAAGACTGAAAAATGCTACTTTGCAGAGCAGTGCCAAGTCATCAAATCTGAATTGCAATGAAATTTTAAAGCAAAAGCCTTGACTGTTTTTCCTTCTTCCTTCCTTTCTTTAGTTGGTTTGTTTTACTTGATTTCTTAATGGAAGTTTGATGATTTTAATAGGGAGTTGGGGGCTAAAAAAAATCTACGTCCATGTTTCTTTTAGCATTTATGTCTGGTTTCAGAGACACCCTATTTATAACTTACGTATACATTTCTCTACAAGTCTGTGCTGTTACATTTTCTCTCTGATATAGCCCAGAGATCTTCAATAATACAACATAAAAAATCCCAAACACCCCTATATATAAAAGTCTAAGACCTTTTCAATTTTCTTCAATAATTTCCTGTCAAACAAGTAAGACCACAGAAGGAAATGAGTAGTTAGAGGAACTTTTGATGTCAGAGGCCAGTTTTTAGTTCTTCCTTTTACCCTCCTGCCTGTTAGATAGATTAGGGAATTCCTCATTTTCCAGCACTCACACCTCTTTCAGTTATATAGCACTGGTGGAAAGGATTTTACAGCTTTGCACTTGAAGGTCTGAGCATTATTTTGAATGCAGCAGGAGATTTGCTAGTTCAGTGGTAGGTGGCTCTAGGATCAGAAAAGAGGGGTGATTAGCACAAAGCATTTGTTTAAAGGACTGAAACTGTTGGACCAAAGTGGAACTGGAACGTAGTTACTGGAACATGGTAACACTGTGCAGCAAGATTGGAAAGTGCAGCTATTATTGACGTCAATAAGCGTTTTAACCAGGTATGCCAAGACTGATTTTAGCAAACTATAGCTAACACTCAGCCTGGAAGATTCGTGCCACGTGTAGGAGACAGTGTCTGCCACTGAGAGACTGTATTAATTCAAAGTATACCATAAAAAGCAGTCATAACAGAAAACAGGGACAATGGGTGCAGAGTGGTAATAGACAAAGTTATGAGAGCACCTGGTCGAGCTGACAGTCTGTATGCACAGTGCAGTGTTTCAGGTGATTTACAGTATACTTGACTGTAAGTTGTAAAAAGAATCATAGAATCATTAAGATTGGAAGGGACCTCTGAGATCATTGAGTCCAACCGTTAACCTAACTGCCAGGTCCACCTCTAAACCACGTCCCTAAGAACCACATCCACACATTTTTTGAATACTTCCAGGGACTGTGATTGCACCACTTATAAATATATCATAAATAAATAAATGAACACATTGTAAATAAAAACATCATAAAATTGATACCCAGTATCACCATACACATCGCCTAGCAGCACAAGCCTAGGAGGTGTGAATTCACATCTAACCACAGCTGCATCTCTGGCTTATTTCAGTTTCCTCGAGAAAGTTGCATAAATTTCTTACTCTCACCCTTGTCCTCCCTGCCCCAAATGTGGATAGTAATACATGCTCAACTACCCAGCAGGTAAGTTATGAAGAGCAGTTACTGAAATACTGAACTAATGACAGGGACTTTGTGCTTCCTATGCTACGTGATGTTAAAGACTTGTCTCTCAAACTCAGTTTGGTGAATGCTTTACTAACCATGCAGCCACAGACCGCTGCCTTCCTTTCACTTGGCCATATGATTACCATTCGGTGTGGAGCTGCAGATACATGCTTTTGCTTGTACATTATGTTACACGTGAAGCCTAGCATAACAAAATACTCAAGCATGTACTTCATATTATCCTGTGAGGAATTCCAGGAGCTTAGCAGTTAAACACATTTAGGGACACTGGTAGATTCTGACCGAGAGAGCTCTACTGTATTTAGTAATCATTATTAAAATAGTTGTTGAAGTGCTCTTAGAACAGTATAACAAGTATGTAGAAGGCCAAATGCATCTCCATAAGTGCTTCCCATGCATCATCACTCCTTCTTTCAAATGGATTGTCAGCGCTCCCCATCACCCAGCTAGAGTTTACTACTGTTTGACACTGACCACAAAGAAGAAAAACAATAAATTGGTGAAGGGGACCCTAATGGAACTGCAGGAGGCAGGGGAACATATATATGTGTTAGTTTAAATGTCGCATTTCATGTAGGTAAGACAATCATGAAAAACTCAGCCCAAATTTCTGTACCAGGAGATCTCAGCCATTTCCTCATTGAAATCTCAAACTGGGGATAAATCCAGTATAAATCAAAAATGTGGTATAATTTGCCAAGAGCGTGGATCTTACCTACAAGCATTACTGTTCCACTGTTACTATTATAGCTGTAATATGAGAGGATACCCTGCAGAACCCAGATGAATTTCATTTTACCAGCACATTGTTCTATATTGTCAGTAAGTACCAGTAGATAGTGAAAACATAGTATTTAATTTTAAAATTCTGAGGTGGTCTTTTTTCTGATAACAATGCAGAAAAAGAGTTTGGTATATTATTTTGAGAAATAGTAGAAGTCATATTTGGTGCAAGTCAAATTATTATTTTTACAATTTAGCTTCTATTTCATTTTATTAACTTTTTGTTCGGCCCAAAGTTGCCCATGCAGAGTTGAATAGATCTAAATATTTCCATATATTTGGAAATTTTGTCTAGCTCTGACTATGAAAGCTGTTTCATTTCTACTAAGGAAATAAAAGTTCTCTTTAAAACTTATAGAAGATCATACTGGTAAGAAATGCAAAATGTTATGGTTAAATCTCTAATTTTCATTCTTTAAAATGTAATATAGACTGAAAGATTGTAAATGTATGTCTCAATTACCACCTTCCTTAATAAGCTTAGTTTCCAGACCAAAAGTTACTCTAAGATTAACCTGCTATTTTTCTTTTTAATAAACCATGCCTTTCCATGTTCAGATAAAGGTACTTTTTCTATATTTCCTTACACTGCCATAAGATGTGTCATTTTAAAAGATGAGGGAAATGGGAGAAGAAAAGACAAATTATCTCTGTGCCAAAATATTCCTAAAATCAGATCAATGTCCAAGGTAATGACTAGATACTCAGCCAAACATAGATTTCTCCAAGCAATCACAGTAATTGTGCAAATAATAATAGGCAGACAAAAATGCTTATTATGGCGTGTACAGATCTTGGCTTTCCTTTTTTAGAAATATTGAACTGAACAACAACAGTATTACATCTAGTATAGCATCTGTGACATAAATTTAAGTAACTGGTACATGAAAATTTGGCAAGATCTACTTTCAGATCTACACAAAGGTTCAAGATTGATATTCTTCATTTATTGTGCATATGCACACAGAACTGAATATGATTTTTTTAAAATGGGACAGCAAAGGGAAAGGTCAAGATTTTTTAAAAGCATCTGAAAAGGAAATTATGCTCAGCTTGTTTAATTAGGAAAAACAAAGGTGGTGCTGAATAATAACTTGATTAGAGTATAATTAAACTGAATTATTACTTTTATTTATCATATTCATGAAGTAAAAATGAAATGGATGCAAGAGCCACAGTTTCTTATTCAGTTTGCTGAGAGACTGGAATCCATGAAAAAAATGCCTGGTGTATCTTTAGTGCATATTATTCCAGTTAACAGCTCATGCAGCGTGTTTTAGAACTATTATTATTTTTAAATCTGCTGAGCTAATATGATTACTCCTTCCAAATCCTGCAGAAAATAACAAAGATAAATGACTGTACAGTTTTTCCATAGAGTCCCACAGAGACAGCACATGCCATGAATTGAAATAGACAAATCTATTTAAAGAAAGGATACTGAGTAATAACTGAGTTTGTGAAATGACAACCTAACCCACAAGTTAAATATGTTTTAAAAATTCTAGCCAGCATCAAGGTAAAGGAAGAGGAAACCAATTTTTAAACCTGTCTCAAGTATCATGATTTTCTGTCATCTTTAGGGTATTTTGTTTAATTCTATTAAATTTGCATACTTGAATTCAAAGAGAAACCTTGGATACTTTGCTAGCAAACAATTTCTATGCAAATATAAAAGCTCCCTTTATATCCTGCTTCCAGTTGACAAGGTCCTTTTCTTGGAAATAGTGTAGTCATAAGGGTGGAAAATTCTAGAGGCTTGTGTTTTAAATACCAGTGTATTAGAAGTTATAGACCTAATAATCACAAAAATAATTCCATTATAATCACACAGAACCTTCCTGAAAAAAAATCAGATGAAGGGCAGTATATCCAAAAGTAACATATTCAAGAAATATTAGGTATGCAATGTCACAATTCACCCTGTGTTCAAGAACAAACAGACTTAGCATTGTAAAACATGATTGTAGCCAAATCATGTAATAAGACTGTGCAGAGTCTGAGACAAAAGGGAGAACACAAAAGCCTTTCCTTGATTCAGAAAGATAAAACCAAAGTACTATTAGATTTTAAGATGACTGTCTGTATCTCACAGTCTATAAGCACAATGCTATAAGCAGTTGAGAGACTTAGGCTCACTGATTCATGGCTGTGTGATACAGCATTCAGACTCGTTCATTTCTGTTCATACAAATAAGCCTGTTATTCTGGGATCAGTCTCAACAACACTTGGAGAGTAATGCTTTTCAGATAGTCTGACTTGTTCTTTCACTGCTGTTTGGCAAAGACCTAATAGTCAAGTTTCTGGATATATGACCCCTGTTGATATTTTACGTTGCAGGGTTTCAAAGAGCTGGTTATCTCACCTCTCCAAACATCTCACCAACTGCATGCTTTATGTTGTTTGTTCTGCAGTACCCATAAGGTAGTCCAAAT